GCCGCCGCCGCATCATGGGCCAGGTGCGTGCAACCGGGCCGCGGGCGGGTCAGGAGGTGCGGGGATGTGGAGGGCCGCCTGCATCTCGCGTTCTCCGGCCTCTGCGCCGCTTCTCTCCCCGCCCTGTCCCAAGCCCTCAGTCCGAGCTGGAGACCCTGGGCGAGGACCCGGACCCAGACTCGGAGGGGGGCCGAGGTCCGAGGGCAGCCCCTTTTCCAAGGGTAGCACCGGGATGCGCTTACATGGATGCACCATGGTGGTCAGGTGCGCCCTGCATGGGGCTGAGGTTCACGAGCTCATTGGGCAGCGCCCTGCCCCCGGTCCCACCAACCCAAGAAACGGAGGAGTAGCAGGCACCCTCCACCCAATAAATGGGGGGACAGTGAGCACCCTCTACCCGTGAAATGGGGAACAAGGTCGTAGAGAGGCCCCGTGGCTCCTTGGAGGGGTGCTCTTTCTAGGTGGGGAAATCACATCCCACCTTCCCCTCCACCCAGGAGGTGTTACCCTAGCCTGCCTCCACACATGAGGAGAGGGAAGGTGAGAGAAGAGAAGGCTAGGGAGCTGCTGTTTGAAAGTGGGGGACCTCCCCACAATCCTGCTCCTCTCACTCCCCAGGGGAGGGGATGACCGGGAGATGGTGGTCCCTGACCCCCAGGGCAAGTCAGAAAACCAATCTGGACCTAATACTGCACTTCTGCTTCTCCTTCAGAAAACACCCAGAATTTACTCTGTGGAGCTCAGTGGAGCTAAAGACATGAAGCAAACAGACAAGGAGGATGGCAAGGAGAAGTACAGGGGCCTGTGGGACAACTGCTTGGAACTCAGAAAGAATCACCACAAAGAGGATCTGACAAAAGAAATTGATCTGGTCAGTGCATTGGGCCCTGAAGTCAAAGGGGCCCACTGAGTGCTGCCCTGCCCCCTGGGAAGCTTATAGGGAACCTGCCCTTATACCCTTCCTTTTCCAAAAGAAAAAGCAGTCTGAAGGGTTTGAATTCCTCCTAAGATTGTTTCCTTGCTTAAAAAAAAAGAAAAGAAAAAAAAGGAAAAAGGTATGATAATGTCGGCCAGGGGTCAGGCCTCGGCAGGATTCTTGCATTCTGGTTGCAGGCAGGTGGCAGTCAGGGAAGTCTCTGGGATTCCAGTCACCACACGCTTGGCCAACACCGCTCTCCTTCTGGCTGCTTCAGTGAAATATAAGTAATCAGTTTCTAGCTGATAAACTGAAATTCTTTGAGATTTACTGTTTCTGGGCATATATGCCCCATGAGAAGGTGATAAGACTGTTGGGCTTGGAGTCAGATGACCTTACATCCCATTGAAGTTCTACTTGTAACTGGGGACAACTACCTAGCTTCACTGAAGCTCCATTTTCTTTAGGTAAACTGGGAAGGAAACAATTTGCATGGGTCTGTGATGGGGAAAGTGAGAAAAGAGTTAAGTATTTTGTAATTAAAGTGCTTTATGGAAGCTCAATATTATTACAGTTGAGGAAGGACTTTGGCCGCCATGGAAAAGGACTGCCTCAGAACTGATGAAATATGACATTTCATCTCAGCACTGCCAAAGGGGAAGCTTCTACACGCAAGTTCATTGCAGACTTTAAAGCTCTATGATTGTCTGAGCAAACAGTAGTGGTATAAGCTCCTGGGGGATAGAGAGCCAGTGGTTAAATATTCAGGAATTTAACAAGCTGACCCACATCTCAGCATTGCGTTAGTAGCTTGAAATTTGGCTGTGGTGAAAAATGGTCAGATGCTACACATCAGCGTTTTCTGTCTCTCCTGGAGAGCTTGTGAAACTTTGAGCAGCACACTAGACATTTGTCTGTATATATCCTGATAGACATTTAAGAACACAGCCCTGAAATTGGACTGATCTAAACTCAAATCCCACTTTGACTGAAGCTCAGTTTCCTATTTTGAGAAAATAGAAATGAAAAATGATTCCTGCCCCTTAGACTTGTTAAGAGGTTTCAGTGAAATACAGCAGGAGGAAGACTTAGAACAGCACCAGATAATAGACAGTTATTCTTATTGCCTATGTGTCTCTAGCATTCAGGATTGAAATTGCTAGTTTTCCTAGAAATTGCTACGTACAACATGAAAATATATCCATTCTGTCATTTGCCTATTAGGATGAGAATATTCCTTTTTGAGCACTTTGTGAAGATGTGTAATACTGAAAAATAATTTCCATGGGATTAACCAATGTTCCCCTGCTTCCCAAGAATCCTGTAATTTGGACAATGTGCCTGGATGGTCTTGCACCCTGACGTGTCCAGCAAATCAGAACCTTGATGAGAGCTAAAGCACTCTTGGCTTTTGAATCCACCCAAGCCCAGCCCTGTGCTGCCCTGTGCTATTCCAGTTCTGATCAGCAGAGGGAGCCCAGCCCACAGCCCTTCTGCATCCTTATCCCCAAACTAAGGCCAAGGGGAGGACAGGTCTCTGCCTCCCAGCGCAGCCTGTTAAAACCCAGGTCCGTCTATGGAAACAGTGGCTTTTCTCACCCATCCCCTCTTCCTCGTACCTGCCTAGAATTAGCACACAGTGCACAGAGTGTGTCTTAACCCTTTGAACCCTTGGCAATGTCATCTTCTATTAACATGAAAGACTGAACAAAGCAGGTTCTGGCTGATGGAAAGGCAAAAAATATTATTTATTTGTAAAGTCTAATCTCTTAATATGACGTTTTTTGCATGTACTTAAGAGAAGAGGTGGCTCTGGTCCCAATCAAAGTATAAATCTTTGTTCTGGACAGTCAGAGCATAAAGACTCTGTCCTGGGTCTGAGGGAAGGTGTTAGTGGGTAGAATTCTTTAAAACAGTTATCGGCCCACAATGGCAATGATACCCAGATTGAGAAACGATGCTTGAGTAATGACCCTGTGGCAAAATTAGTGCGTGGGCCATAATGGTATTATATGGCAGGTTTTTAAAGTCCAGGGTTTCTGTAACCTGCCTGAGTCTCAAGTACTTGAATAAGAAAAGCCACGGTTCCCTCTCCCAAAGACTGCCTTCCCAGCGAGGGCTGCATGGATACCGAGTTGTCAGGACATGTGAAATGGGACTGCTTGGTATTGCTGGTCACCTTCCATTGGTCCCACATTCGCATCTAAGTTAGCACCTGGACACCAAGTAGGCTCAGACTTGCATGTGTTAGAGCTCAGACAGGTAGAATGCATTGCTTTGTTTATAAAAACTATGTGGTAAATGGCAAGTTAAGTCTGAACTTTTCCTGGGGTGGCCAGAAATTCCCCTGAATCAGGACAAGCCTCTCCTGTGGCAGGACCCTCCTTCTCTGCAGTAGCCACCTGGCACCTATGGCTCTGTCTCTTACTCCCACACTTTCTGGCCCCTCTCCCATCACCTGTGCTACTCAGCCTCCATGGGGTTTGTCAGGCTTCCAGCTTGAGTCTTTTGGAATTATCTAATTCACTCTGTTCTTCTTTTCATGGACTTCAGGATGACCACAAGCTCAGCAATAAGGAATTGGAAGATAAATATCACACAAACATTGTTACGGTAAGTCATGAGGGAACTCAGATCCAGAGGAGCAGCCTTGGGACTATAAAGGAGAAGGGTGTTTAGGAAAGTTGATGGTACCTTTAGGATGAGTGACTTATAGCTCCAATGTTGAGAATGCCCTAGTGGATGACTGAGGGTGACTGACATCAGGAAGTGGCATTGTGGACCATGACCCTGGTCAAGCTCTTTGGCTGAGCTGTATGCTAACTATACAGTTCTTTTGACTGTGGCTTCAGAAAGCTATGGTCTCCCCTAAAAGGTTGAGATGCTTGCTCATTGTCATGGTCAAAGATTGTTTTAATCCCGGTGTCTAAGACGTATGATGGCCTTATCAAAGAATGGGTAGAACCAGTGTTAAGAAGCCAGGGTCTGGAGTGACAGCCTTAGACCCTGCTTGTTCACTGTCACCTCCTCTGAGAAGGAGCAGTGGTCTCAGGTAGCTCCCAACTCTCCCACCACAGAGGTACTGCTTCCTTCTGTGAATTCACACTCAACTCAAATTTCAAAAGCTTTGGTGTCTTGACATCAGGAGATTTGGCTACATCTGTTCAAGTCAACAAAAATATCCACTGTGTGTGATGCACTGGACCAGCAGTGAGAGGGGCACAGAGAAACAGGCACCCCTGGCCTTATGCAGTAAGCAGTTTGGCAGGTGGCCAGATACATGGGAAAAGTATCATATCATCCACTCCGTTCCACTTAGAGGGCAGCCGAGAGGTCTACAGCACATAGTGAGAGATGAATTCTGACCAGTGGAGGTGTTTGAATTAGGATGTAGGACAATGGCTTCGACTTAAGTTGCCAGAGTATCCAAGGGGCAGGAATGACAGAGTACACGGAATTGATGACAGGGAGGTAAGGTAGAAAATCAGGCTGGGGAGAGGTAATTGCAGTGGAACTGTTCAGCACTTTCACATTAAACTAAGGAATAAGGACTATATTAGTTATATGAAGAGCATAATTTCTAAACAAGGAAGCAATTTGGTAAGATTGGTTTTCAAAAGGCAATTCTGGGAGGAGACACATAGAGAGAGAGATAGGTACATATATATACACATTTTATTTTTAAGTGGGAGATGGCAGGGTCTAGAAGAATGTAGGGCTGTAAGATGAGCATGTGAACTGCTGCCCTAGTTCGGCAGCAGCAGTAAGACAGGAGAGAGGGGCAGATTCAAGAGACACTGAGGCTTTTGAACAAATCCCTAATCCAGCAGGAAGAGGAGATATGGGCAGGGGGTCAGGTGGCAGGCTGGGCCCCAGGGCAGTATGTGCGAGAGATTAGAGAAGGCAGTGGGAGGGAGGGGTCGTGGTGAGTCTGAGGTTCAGAAAAGGTATTGCAAATGGGAGGTGATGATATCCAGTTTCTGATTCCGAATCCAGTTATTCAACAACTGTTTGAGCCTCTACTACAGAAAAAGCAATAGATCCTATAAAAGACACAAAAATGAACAAAGATAGGCTCCTTACCTTTAACTGGCTTACAGCCTAATTAGGAAGAGAAGTTATGTAAAAGGTAGTTTGAGCGGAGGGGGGTCACCCTATGGATGACAGTTCAAGATTTCAGGGGGGCCTCCATGCACCTGTGGATGGAGGGCTTCTGGCAAGAAGTGAATGGCCATGTGGGCCTAAGATGAACGAGAACTTAGAACTTAGGGCCAATATCTAGAAAAGCAGAAAAGCACCAGACGTAAGGATGAAAAATCAGCCATGTACCATATTGAAGTTCCAGAAGAGAGAGTGTTTTCTGGATGTAACTGCCTTGCCCTTAACCCTGGTGACTAGCTTCTGTATTTCAAATCCTCCTTAGCCAGATTGCTGCTATCTCTGGGTAAATCTCTAAGAAACTGGACCACCTTAGCAGACAGAATATAGCAGCTCTAGGTCCAAACGCCTGGTCAAATCCTGGTGACTCAACCACCATATGCCTCAAATTCCATGTCTGTAAGATAAGGATAATAATAGTCCCTTCTTCAGAAGGTTATTTTGAAAAATAAAATGAGTAAATATATGGAGAATACTGCTTGGCTGACATTAAGCATTAAATATTCCTTTTAAAAGGTGGGGGGATGAGGCATCACCCGCTTTATCCAGGCGCTCCCTGAGCATGGTAACCCCTTTCCACAACCTGCGGAAATATGATATCCAACCCAAGGCAGGAAAAATGTCTAATTCTGTTTGGGGTTTTTTTGTTTCTTTGTTTGTTTTTTATTGTTTTAGTTTTAATTTTTTAAATTATAGTTGACAGTCAATATTATATTAGTTTCACATGTATAGCATAGTGGTTAAACATTTAAACAACTTACAAAGTGATTCCCCCCAATAAGTCTAGTACCCACCTAGCACCATACATAATTATTTCAAAATTACTGACTGTATTCCCTATGTTATACTTTATATCCCTGTGACTGTTTTGCAACTGCCAATTTGTACTTCATAATTCTATTTGTTTTTGTTCAACTTTCTCAGGGTCTCTCCAGCACCCAAGCTGCTGAGCTCCTTGCTCGAGATGGGCCCAACGCCCTCTCCCCTCCCAAGGAAACACCGGAGATTATCAAATTCCTGAAGCAGATGGTGGGAGGCTTCTCCATCCTTCTGTGGGTGGGAGCCATCCTGTGCTGGATTGCATATGGGATCCAGTACTCTAACGACAAGTCCTCATCGCTAGACAATGTAAGGCACTGGGGCCTCCTGCCTGGTTTTACTGAATTACTAACAGGGAAGAACAGAGCTATAAAATGAAGCCTCTCATGGGTAGAGCCCTGGGTGGAATCAAGAGTCTTCCATTGACCACTTGCTGCATCGGTTTGGGAAAATCAATCATTTCCCCAGCTGTAAAACAGTAATTATATCTGACTCCCTGATGACTCAGAGGTAGTATGAGCATGAATTTTAGCAAGAGAGAGAAACATTATAAGTTCCTAAGTAAAAAGAAAAAAAAGTATATGTATGTGAAGTATTTGGGGGTTCTCTCTCCTGAAAGCTAATTCTCTCCTTTTAACGTGGGAGCATGTGTGCCTGCTAACTGGGCACCAAAACCACAAAACCACACTGGCCAACATAAGACTGAGAGAAAGAAGCCAGATGCAAAGCTCCACATACCATATGATTCCGTTGGTATGAAATGCCCAGAACAGGCACATTCTGGAGACAAAGCAGATCAGTGGCTGCTAGGGCTGGGGTGGGAGCAGGGAGACTTGCCAGTTGGCACAAGGGGTCTTACTGGAAGGACAGAAATGCCCTATAACTGGATTTTGGCAATTGTTGCAAATTCAATAAACAACTGTGTAAATGTTTTAAAAATCATTGAATTATAGACTTAAAATGGATATGTTTTGTGGCCTGTAAATTACACCAGGACACAACTGCCATCTCTCTGGCCTTCCCATGAAGAGCTCTAGCCTTAGGATCTGGCCCACTCTGAGGCTGTTTTTTCTGACTGATGCCTCTCCTCTTGACCTAGGTGTATTTGGGCACAGTGCTCGCCCTGGTTGTCATCTTAACGGGGATCTTTGCTTACTACCAAGAGGCCAAGAGCACCAACATCATGGCCAGCTTCAGTAAGATGATTCCACAGGTGAGTGGCAGCTGTCCCTCTCCCATCTCTGCATGACTTCAGGTGAGGAGAGTGGGGCCTTGTAGGCACAGGATCTGTGGTCAGGCCCAGGCCCATTCTTTTCTGTATGAGAAGTCTTAGTCAAGTGACCTAATCTCCATGAATCCCCATTTCCTTAGGGGTTTGAGATGAGCAGTGAGGCAAGAGACAGGAAAATGCTTAGTCAAGAGTATAGCAGGATGGAAGCATTAGTCATTGCACAATATCTTCTGTTACTGCTTAGAAGTGTTGGTGAACTGTTGAGACAAAAATCATTCAGGTGGTCTCATAGCCAAGGACATCAACCCATGATTTTTTATCTGTGACCATCTTGGCTGCCACTTCTGAGCTTCACTGCATGTTGCCCCAGAATACTCAGTGTGGGGGGCCCACTGCTCCCATGTCTCTACAGGGACCCCTGGTAGGTATCCTCTAGGGAGACTGTGTACTGTCAGGAACCAGCCTGAAGGACGGACAAACCTGAGTTCGAGTGGTGGGAATTAAAGAGACAAACACAGTTATGGGATGGGCAGGGCTGCCCTCCAATGAGGTGCAGCAGCCTCAAATGGCTTCAACGCCTTTATTATATAGTGAGTAACAAACAACTGGTAAGGAAGCGAGGGTGATACGAAGTAGTTCTTTCATGGCTGCACAAACACACTTTCAGCATAAACATCCTGTCTCCTGCATGAACTCAGACCTCTGTAACTATCTTCATTTCGGCTCCCCACAGGAACCTGCGGGGAGGGTTGAGTCCCTGACTCCAGACCCTCAGGTGGCATGGACCATGTCCAGACACGTCACCGGCTCCCAACAGTGTACCACTGTCAGCACAGTGGGAATACCATCTTATCCCAGAGCTTCCAGCTAGAAGGGACTCTGGGGATCTTTTGTGCTAATGAATGGGAGATCCACCTCCTCCTCCATTAAGATTTTCCTGACCTGAGCAAGATTATTAAATCCTTGGGTTCAGCCTTTAGGATTCTTCCCTGACATCGCAGCCAGGAGTACTCATTCCTTTCAGTCAGGCCCAGGGCTATCCTTTGCCATATCTGCCCACAATACATTTTCTGGGTCTAAGAATATCACTAGTAGTTCCTCCTTGAGAAAAAGTAGTTCTTAGGGTCTTCAGGCCCAAGACAAGGTCTTTGTTTCATCTTTTGCCATTCTGAGTTTTGCTGTCTGAGTTTTGGTAAGGTATGGATGGAGGAGCATCAGCATCATTCCAGGATCTGAAGCATCTGCCACATTTTCTTTTGCAGCAAGCGCTTGTCATTCGAGATTCAGAGAAGAAAATAATTCCTGCAGAGCAGCTTGTGGTGGGGGACATAGTGGAGATTAAAGGAGGGGACCAGATCCCTGCAGACATCAGGCTGCTGTTTGCCCAGGGGTGCAAGGTAAGTGTCGTGGGCACCCCAAGGATCAGGCTGGTAACTGGCTGGCATTCTGTGGTCCTTCCAGGTCTCACTGTAATTGCAGCAAGGGACACAGTGCCTCATCTTGAACTTTTCTTTTTAATTTTTAAAAAATTTTTTTATTAATCCTCACCTGAGGATATTTTTTCCATTGATTCTCAGAGAGAGGAAAGAAGGGGGGAGGGGAAGAGAGAGAGAGAAAGGAGGGAGAGAGAGTGAGAAACATTGATATGAGAGACACATAGGTTGGTTGCCTCCCTCATGTGCCCCAACCAGGGCCAGGGATCGAACCTGCAACCCAGGTATGTGCCCTTGACCAGAATCAAACCCGCAACCCTCCAGTGCACAGGCCAATGCTCCAGCCACTGACCCATGCCAGTCAGGGCTCATCTTGAACTTTTTCACAATTTCTTCTAGGTCGACAACTCATCTCTCACTGGGGAGTCTGAGCCCCAGCCCCGTTCCTGTGAGTTCACCCATGACAACCCCCTGGAGACAAAGAACATGGGCTTCTATTCCACAACCTGTCTGGAAGGTAAGTCTTGACAGCTCTCAGGACCGCCCACACCACTGTGCCCCTTCAGGCTCTATGTTTTTATCTCTTTCCATCTCTTGTACAAAGCTTGTCCAAGAGAAAACCTGGAATTGCAGGGCCTAGAGAACTAATGTTGGCCTTTGTAATGTCATGTGCTAATTGATCACATAAGCCACCAAACTGAGGTAGGTGAGCAGTCTGTGGTCCTCTCCCAGCTGAGGACTCCTTTAATAAAATATCCACTTCATCTGTAGGCACAGCAACTGGCATGGTCATCAACACAGGTGACCGCACCATCATTGGTCAGATTGCCTCACTGGCTTCACGAGTTGGGAATGAGAAGACACCCATTGCCACCGAAATCGAGCACTTTGTTCACATTGTGGCAGGAGTGGCTATCTCCATTGGCGTCCTTTTCTTCATCATTGCGGTGTCCATGAAGTATCGTGTCCTCGACTCCATCATCTTCCTCATTGGCATCATTGTGGCCAATGTGCCTGAGGGCCTCCTGGCCACTGTCACTGTGAGTCCATGCTGCCAGGTGGCCTGTCCCCTGACCCTGTTAATAATGCCACCCTGTTAGCCTGAGGAAGCTTCCACCAAAAACTACAGGTCTCCTCCTCAGAGCAATACTCCCTCCCTGTCAGGGACAACCAGGAGGAATTCTGAATTGAATGTTTCTTAGAGGGACAGAGGAATTGTGAGGTTGTTCATATCTGAATGCACTGTCCTTGAAAACTTTATATTTTCATTTAGGAGATCTATCTGGAATCACATGTGTAAATTTGCCCCTTAAGATCTAGATACGACAGACTCGAACCACCATTTACAGATTTCGAGCAGCTGGATATCTTCCTCACATTTCCACAACTTCCTTGGCAGTTTCTACAGCTGAAGAACTTAGGCATATTGTTTACCTAACTTCTCTTCGCTCAGACACACACAGGTGCACAAACTCCTCTTTTCTCTGCAGAGAAATTCAGCCCTTTCCTGCACCTTCCCCCAAATTCTGCTTTGGGTCTCCCTTTGTAGGGCCCATCCAATTCATCCTTAAACAACTCCCTCCTCAAATCTCTGCTATGGAGCCCTGTGGGGTGGAGGAGTGGTTCCAGCTAACATATAAAGATGATCTCAGATCATTGGTCTGCTGTTGTCCTCAGCAAAGATGGACAGAAGTATCTGAATTCTAGGTCCTTTCTGACCCCAGCAGGTAGTAATTTGAAGAAACTGATCCCAAAGAACCCTTTGAGATCTGGGGGTTTAAAAGAGAAAGCTAAAAACCTTTAAAATCGGACCTCGCCCAGCCGGGCGTGGCTCAGTGGTTGAGCATCAACCTAGGATCCAGGCAATCAGGGTTCGATTCCCAGTCAGGGCACATGCCCGGGTTGCGGGCTCGATCAGTGATTCTCATCATTGATGTTTCTATCTCTCTCTCTCTCCCTCTCCTTTCCTCTCTCTGAAATCAGTAAAAATATATTTTAAAAATAAAATAAAATCTGGACCTCTTATAATGAAATACAAATGCTTCTTGATTTGCCAAAGCAACAAGCAAGCCTTTGGGACAAGTTCTTTGGCACAAACCTTATGCATTCACTCTTTTGTCCGACAGGAGCTGGGCAACCAAAGCTCCTCCATGATTACACACGAGTATGGACCATGGCAACTTTGCTTGGCTTTGTTACCTGTGACTTCCTCGGGATCATTTTCTTTAAGGTGTAAAGGGACAAAAGAAATATTCCATATTTAATAAGAAAGGATCATAGCATATAGGGTTTATCAGCCACTGCCTCTGTAACTATAGTTCTGTCCTGAAACTAGTCTGGCCCTAGCTACTTTTATGTTATTGTATCTGCATTCAAATGGATTTTTCTCTCTCTCTTCTGTCTAGGTGTCTCTGTCACTGACAGCAAAACGGATGGCCAAGAAGAACTGCCTGGTGAAGAACCTGGAGGCAGTGGAAACACTAGGTTCCACCTCCATCATTTGCTCAGACAAGACGGGGACTCTGACTCAGAACAGAATGACTGTGGCCCATCTGTGGTTCGACAATCAGATCTTTGTGGCTGACACCAGTGAAGACCATTCGAGTAAGTCTTCTGGAGCATTCAGTCTGGGCCAAAGCTGTGGACTTCAGCAGAGGGACACAGGCAAACGTGGCAGGGTTGGTGTGCAGTCTCAGAATTGTGTGAATAGTATGGTTTGTGGCAAGCAGGCCCCACACCCATAGCATCCCCTGTGCTTTCTGTTTTCCAGAGCAAACCTTTGATCAAAGCTCTGGAACCTGGGCCTCCTTATCAAAGATAATTGCATTGTGTAACCGAGCTGAGTTCAGACCAGGACAGGAAAGAGTCCCCATCATGAAGGTAAAGTGTCTGCATTGGTCAGTCTTAAACCACAACCAGTTTGAAGTCACTTTCCCTGTTCTGATTTGGTGCTAGATTTAATCCCTCCAACACAGGAAAGCTTGTACTAGTAAGAGCAAGTCTGGCTCCCAAGACCTGCAGGAGATTTCCTTCATTGTAACTAGCTTTGCAACATCACAAAGATGTCTTAAGGTCTCAAATTGATCTGAGTCATTTGAAAATTTTCTTATTCCATAAAATGAATGTGTCCTTATGTTACTTCCCTAACTTCTTGATTAGATTAAGTAGATATAATTTTAAAAATTTATTGCATAAATGTCATTCACTGAAGTTTAAAATATAATTGGGCCCTAGCCGGTTTGACTCAGTGGTTAGAGCAAACTGATGGGTCCCAGGTTCGATTCCGACCAAGGGTATGTACCTCAGTTGCAGGCTCAATCCCCAGCCCCCAGCGGAGTGCGTGTGGAAGGCAACCAATCGATGTGTCTCTCTCACATCGATGTTTCTCTCTCCCTTCCACTCTCTCTGAAAAGCATGGGAAAAAATATATCCTCAAGTGAGGATTAAAATTAAAATAAAATATAATTAGATGGAAATGAAGGACTGATCTTAAAACACATTTTCTTGGCAGCAGGTGCCCTAAGGGGTCCTTAAATATTGGAATATGCAATAAACTAACTCCCTTTTGCCCCCTTTCTTTCCCTTCCCTTCCTTTCTCCCTCTCACCCTCTTTCTCTCTTCTTCTACCTCCCAATGAGTCACTGAGCCTATGTCCCCCTGGCTTTTCTATTTGCCATTTGTTTTCTTTATTGACACTTTCTCTTTCATATATTTTTTATTTGTGTTTCTTTCTCTAACAGCTCATCAATTCTCTTTTTGGCCAGTCGCTTCTCTGTCTTTCAAATCCTTATGTCCGGTTCTAATTTCTTACTCCAGCTCCATGTATCTCTAGCTAGCTGTGTGTTCCCACTTGGAAGTTTTGACTGTTAGACTCTCAACTAATTCTATGACTTGTCACCTTCTACCTGTACCCAACCTGGCTTCAAATCAAGATCTTGTACCAATTTTTCTCTTTTTCTGTGACATCACCATGTTACTTGTCTTCTGGGCCAAAACTTTTAAAAGTCATCTTTACTTTCTCCTCACCAAGTCCATCATTCTTTCTTCAAAATATCTATAATCTTACACTTCTATTATCACCAATACCTTGCATCTAAATAACTGTACCCTCTTAATTGACTCTAGTTTATCCCTCCCCTAGTCTTTCTTACATGGCACTAATTTTCCTTAAAATCTGCATTAGATGAAGTATGTTACCTAACTTTGCTCAAAACTTCCTTTACTTCTCTGTTTTCTGCTTCTCAAATCTAGGCCTCAGCCTGCATTTCAGGTCCATCTGTACTCCCACCACTTAGGACAGAAGTCTTCTACTTCTCACCTTCATTCATGGCATTCTGGCTTCTCCTCTCTTTGTGACCGTCTTTCAAGATCTAGTTCAGTTATGCTTCTTAAATGTTTTTGTTGATTTTTAGAGAGAGAGGAAGGGAGAGAGATAGAGAGATAGAGATAGAAACATCAAAGAGAAAGAAACATCAATTGGCTGCCTCCTGCATACCCCCTACCTGGGATCAAGCCCAAAACCTGGGCATGTGCCCCGACCAGGAATTGAACTGTTGACCTCATGGTTCATGGGTTGATGCCCAACCACTGAACCACACCAGCCGGGCCATAACCGCTTTTTTCATGAAACCCTTCAGCTCTCAGAGCTCTAACTTTGGGCTTTGCTGCTGCCAGTAGGTGGCATTACTCACTTTAACAGTTTTACCATGGTCTTAACTCAGTCACAGTTTTGTGTTATTGTTTTGTTTGTCCAGCTAGATAGTAAGCTTAGTCAGGTGACATGTTCATTCATTGAAAACAATCCCCAAAGAACCAGATTATGTGCTGCAAATATTTATTTTTATCTCTTTTGATTCTCAGAGAGTTGTGGTTGGAGATGCCTCAGAAACTGCTCTTTTGAAATTCTCAGAGGTGGTTTTGGGTGACGTGATGGAAATTAGAAAAAGAAACCACAAAGTAGCAGAAATCCCTTTTAACTCAACCAACAAATTTCAGGTGAGTTGTTCCTCACAACTGAATCTCTGTTATCTCAAGAACGTCATTTCTACTGTAAGTACCCTTAGGTTAATACAGATTTTAAATGATACTTGACTTAAAAAATAGTCCTCCAAGATGGATGGCCTGGGTATCTAGTGAACCCAGAACAGGTTTTCCCTTGCTGGCCTCCTTCCTCTGCCTGAGGCAGATAGAGAAAAAGAATCTTGTCAGCCCAGCTTCTCCTAGATAATCTGTCTCTATTACAGACACACAAACACCCTCACTCATGCACACACACCCCTATGGGATGACTTGCACAAGTGAGGGGCAACGGCCAGAGCCCAAAGGGTAAATGAAAGGTGGAGGAAGGGGTAGAGCTAACTGCACCCTCAGTCTGTGTCAGGTGCTTCACATATGTTGTCTCATTGATTCTCACAATAAGCATATGAAATGGGACTAATTAACCCCAATTTCTAGGTATGGAAACAGGCCCCTGAATGTGTTGATGTCACCAGACTCACTCAAGCATCAAAGTGGCATCACCAATTTTCACAGATCTGTTTGACTCCTGAGCACATGTTTTTTCTACCCCATCTACAAGTCAGAGGCAGAACAGTTTCACTTAGGCCATGTGAGGAAGCCTTGCCCTTTTTGAAACCGGTGAGAAGTCTCTCTGATGACCAGCCAAGTGCCTTTTCATTCCGGCCCCACAGAAATCCTCTTTCCACTCATTTCTCAGGAAGAGAAATGTCCTTGCCTAGTTGTCTCCCCTCATTTCAAGGGTGGCCAACAACCAAACACCCTGCGGTCCTCCCAGTGTTTGGACAAATGACAGTGTGTAACCCAAGGTCCTGCTGCTGATGGGCTTTTCAGTAGACTCCAGAATTGAGAATGGGCATTATGATTTGGCCTTTGCATCAACAGTTAAGTGTATAAATAGGATAGCCATGTTTGTGCCAAAGTTTCTGGTGACTACCCTATCATTTTGTTTGGATGGAAAAGAACTTTTGTTGCAAACATCTTTGTGGATAATGGGCCAATGAAGAATTGCGGTTAGCCAAATACACAACAGAAAAAAGTGTGTGATGTCAAATATTAAAGCCAAGAAATCAGATCTCTCATCCAAAACTTAAGTGAAAATAGAATGAGTCACAATTCTAAAATAACAATAGTAATCATGCTAATTTCCACATGTATTAAATCACTCAATTCTCACCACAGCTCTGTAAGGTAGAGTGAGGCACAGAACTTTATCATATAGCTGGCGAAGGCCAAGCCAGGACTCACACAGACCCAGCAAGTCTGTGGTCTTACAGACTAGACTAGGCTCAGAATCCTTCATTTACTCCAGTAAAAACTTCCTTCAGCACGTGAGAAATGAGAAAGAGCAGGTCCCGTGAGGTCTCATATACCAAAAGTGCAGGGAGAAAATGGGCTACCCCGAGTTAGGACAAGAATGGAGAGAGGGCCTGTGTATGTTCCTGCTGACAAGGCCAAAGCACCTCTTTGGATGTTATTGGTGCCATTTTAACTCTACACTTGAGCAACAGTTAGCCCTGAACAAGAAGTGTTAGATGTTGTGACCTTGGAAGGTTGTGGGTTTCGGACAACTGAAGGAAACAAAGTGGAAAGTCCATGTCTTATTGGCCTTAAAATAGCAATTCCCCAAACTGAGGCTAGTCCATGAAGAGATTTTCAGTAGTTTATGGCAAATGGGATTTTTAGGACTATATTTTCTAAGTTTTTATATAAAGATGAATGTGTTTCATATAAACGATTATCCTTTTTATCCTCTGTGATCAGGGCAGGGCCTCGCACCTGCCAGCCTGAATTAAACCCCAGCTCAGCTACCTGTTAGTGTGTGACCTTGCATGAATCATTTAACCTTTCTGCACCTGTGTTTCCTGACTTGTAAACAGTGATAAGAATACCCATATCCTTAAGGCAGTTTTGAGACTTACATGAGTAACTGTGTGAGCACTTAGAACAGCACACTCTATATAAGTATTTATTATTCCTACTTTTTAAATGTCAAAATGCTCTACCTTTGAGAAAATGATGGCATTAGTAGATGGGAGGTTTTCTGTTTGGTTTGCTCTTGGTTTGGGTTTGGGTTTGGTTGGCTAGTTGCTTTCTAATGTCTTTTACATGACCATTAACAGAAAAAGCTGGCAAACCTATGCTTGCACTCTATTTATTTTTTTTTATTGTACTCATCTCTGATATCCAAAAGTCTTAGAATCAACCGATGGTCCCAAAATGGTAGAATTTTTCTCTGAAACTCATTCATTCTCTTTCAAATACTCCAGCTTCTTGAAATTCTTTTTGAGGGCTTAAGAGTATCTGGTATACAATAAGGGCTATGTAAGACTTAGCCATTTATTATTGTCTATACACTTTTACCACTTTTTCCAATTATCTTATTAGGATGAGTCTAGAAGTAGAATTACTGGGTCAAAGGATATTGGTGTTAGAATTGTGATACTTGTTATTTAACTGTTCTCCTGAAAGCCTGGATGCGAGCCTGCCCACTTCCTCACACCCTAGCATTTTCCCTCATATGCAGGTAGTAAAATCAGGATCTATGTGGCGATGAAGAGGTACAGAAAGGCCTGCTGCCCTCATGCCTCTGAGCTCAGAAGAGCTCCAGTCTGAAAGGCTGATGCTCACAATGGGGAGGTAGAGATGGGACTTGAGACGAGGTGGCTTACAGCCCCTAACTCCCATGGGCACCCCTATAGATCTTGTTCAAGGCAGAATAAGATGTCCCAAGCTGACAGCTACATCTGGCCCCCCTAAAGCTGGGCTGGGACTAGATGGCTGAGTCCAGATCTCTTACATATCACTTGGCTAGAAAATGAAAAGGAGAGAACCCATGTGTAGAATTCCTCCTTTACATTTCAAGGATAATCAGTAGCCCAACGAGAGAAAGGGCTGCTTTGCATCTTGTCATGTTGCTAATTAAAAGGTTGATATAGTTCAGGCCCTCAGCAATGGAGACAGTGTCATGATTTACTAGCATGCTGTACTTATGCTCACTTCCTTCCCTCCCAGCTCTCCATACACAAGACAGACGACCCCATTGACAAGCGCTTCCTCATGGTGATGAAAGGGGCCCCTGAGAAGATCTTAGAGAAGTGCAACACCATCATGGTCAATGGCCAGGAGCAGCCTCTGGACAAGAGAACAGCTGAGGCCTTCCACACTGCGTACATGGAGCTGGGAGGTCTAGGGGAGCGTGTGCTAGGTGAGCTTTTTGTGGCAGAACCCTTATGTGTCACCTGTTTGGTGCAAGGCTTTGTGCTGCATGAGGGAACAAGATGAGACAGGCTGACCATCCAGCAGAGTAGCTGTGGCATCCACAGGACTCATAAGAAGAATGGTAGACAGATTAAGAGAATACCACATGAAGGCAGCAAGGAGGGTGAGGTTGCTGCCAGGTCAGGGAAATCTAGGAAGATTATATAGAAGGAGTTACATTTAAACTGGGCCTTGAATGGCAATATTTGAAGGGAAGTGGGGGATCGGATTCACGGTGAAGGGAACAACATAGGCCAAGGCTCAGAGGTAGAAGGGGGGACAGGGTATGAGCACTGTCAGGAAACCACTCATTGTGGAGTGTTGCAGAACTGAAGAGACAACGTCATCCTGGGAGGTAGGGCTGGGAAGATAGACTGGAGGTCAAGGTATGGAGTGCTTTATGTGGGTAAGGAACTGGGTTTCATTCTGCAGTCAAGGCAGAGCCACTGGAGACTCTGCAGCAAGTAAACTGCCCAGAGTCAGTGTTTTCTAAAAGATCATTCTTGGCAGCATCAGGGAGCAGACAGACTTGGGTCTCAGGAGGAGGTAGCTGCTCTTGTTCAGGTGACAGAGGGTAGGAATTTGATCCAAGGCCATAGGAACATGAAGGAGAGGTCAGATACCAGAGATTTCTTAGAGGCAGAATCGGTAAGACTTATCAACCAATGAAAGGAGAAAAGTAAGTTTTTTTAAATGTTATTACCAGACACAGAGATAGGGAACATTAGAAGTAGAAGGAACTATAGAAATTTAACCACTGTGGCAGGAGCCGAATTGTGGTCACTTCAGTGATATAACAAAGTATATCTTGTTATTAGAATCTTGGGTTGACAGAGTGGCACCTCTGAACTACAGAATGGTACATTCAAGGTAACAAGTTCATGGTCAATGATAAGGCTCATTAGACATTATGACAGTTCTTGCCAGTAGAGATGGAATCTGTGGAACATGTGTTTCTAAAAGATATTTGAGTTTGTAAAACAAATAAAATATATAAATGAGGTGATAATGCTTTAAGCATGCCTCACATAGCCCACAGCACCAGATGAGAAAGTCATATGATCTTGGAAGTCCCACCATACACAGGAATCCCTTCACCTCAACCTGTGAGAGCCAGACACTGTCTGAATAACAAATGGTTCTGCTCCACTCCTGGTGGCCTTTCTCTCATACTTACCTTGATTAAAGCTCAAGCTTTGTACCATTCCCCTGATCCCCCAGATCCTTTCTCCCATTTGTGCAGTAGCACATGCTGTTTTGTCTGCCTAAATGGTCTTCCCACCCCCCAGTCCTCCCTAATGCCTCTCTCAAGAGTCAGCTCACATACGACCTTCTTGGTGAAGTCTTTCCTGACTCCCCAGGTGGCTGGACTGTAGCACCCTTCAATAACACTCACCATGCTCCATTATGCTTATTTCTTTATGTCTCTGTCCCCGCACTCAACTGGGACATCTTCAGAAGTAAAGGCTGTCCACTCTGATCTTCATAGCCCTAGAACATAACAGAGAACCTAATGTGCACATGAATTATTTTTGGATGAACTATTTCTTTGCTAAAAACAATATGCATTATGGAATTGAAAGAATGAATTCTGGTAGACTTTATTGGTAAAAGAATAAAGGACTGTGAGTGTATGAAAATGTTCCTCCTTTTCTTGTGTCATTCCATAGTCTAGTTTTACTGACTCCCAGATTCGTGCCCATTCCAGGTTTCTGTCATCTCTACCTGCCAGCAGACGAGTTTCCAGAAACCTATTCATTTGATGTCGATGCCATGAACTTTCCCATGTCCAATCTCTGTTTTGTGGGACTCTTGTCAATGATTGATCCCCCTCGATCCACTGTCCCGGATGCAGTCACCAAATGCCGGAGCGCAGGGATCAAGGTGGGAGTTATCTTCCTGACTTAAGAAATCCTCCATGGCCCTGGCAGGTATGGGTCTCAGGTTCAATTCCCAGTCAAGGGCTCCTGGGTTGCAGGTTTGATCCCCAGCCCCCATCAGAGCATGTGCAAAAGGCAACCAATTGATTTTCTCTTTTGCATCGATGACTATCTATCATCTATCTATCTATCTATCTATCTATCTATCTATCTATCTATCTATCTCTATCTATCTATCTATCTATCTATCATCTATCTATCTATCTATCTATCTATCATCTATCATCTATCATCATCATCTATCTATCATCTATCTATCTATCATCTATCTATCTATCTATCATCTATCTATCTATCTATCTATCTATCTATCTATCTATCTATCTATCTATCATCTATCTACCATCTATCTATCTATCTTCCTCTCTCTCTCTTCCTCCCCCCTCCCTCCCTTTCACTCTCTCTAAAAATCAGTGGAAAAAATATTCTCTGGTGAGGATTAACAAAAAACAAAAACAAAAAAAAGAAGCCCTCCATGTATGTTGCATCCCTTCCTAAGAACATTTGTCAGAAGAGATAGTCAGTATTTAGGTCTCTTCAAGTAAACACCTAATCCCCCACCCTCTTTTCTTTCTTTTGGAGAGAGAGAAAGGGCGAGGGCGAGAAACATCTATCGGTTGCCTCCTGCATACACCCTGGGTATGTATTGCACCCAGACCTGGAATTGAGCACATGACCTTTTGGTGCATGGGACGACACTCAACCAACTGTGCCATACTGGCCAGTGATTTAATTCCTATTTAAAAATCTCTATTTTCACTACACTGAACTTTCCATAACTGCAATAAAAGCAAAATGATTGTGTCTGTATGGAATAAACCACAATGGTAACTGCAGTGAGAAGAAAGCTAACTCCCTGTGCCATGAAGTAGCCATATTTTGCCCTAGACTTTAATAGACAATAAAAGGTTTTATTACTAAATCTTGAGTTTCAGCCTCTGTAATCCATTTGCCTTCATGATATCAAAACCAAAATCTTTATTCCATTACCATGTTAATATCAAGGCTGTTGAAGCCACATGAGGCTGTCCCAGGTAGACAGCTACCAGCCGTTTCACAAATACAGCAACATCAAAGGGAAAGGTCTTCCTCTAATCAGAGGAGGAAATACAAAAAGCTTAGGAGCAAGGATAAATCCAGTGGTATCAGCGTGTCCTTCACAGGCAGTTGTGTCTTTCATCTAAAGATCAAGAACTGTCTGTAAGGGCAGACGGCAGTCAACACTAACCATGTTCTACTAGGTCATGGTAGAGTAGGTGATACAGAACTCCCCCTACTCTGGCCAGCCAGTTCCTCATTATTCCCATGCCTTTCTTCATATTTGTGTTCTAGGTTATTATGGTTACAGGCGATCATCCAATTACAGCCAAAGCTATTGCCAAGAGTGTAGGTATCATTTCAGCCAACAGTGAGACTGTGGAAGACATTGCAAAACGCCTCAACATTGCTGTGGAGCAAGTTAACAAACGGTAAGTAAGCACAGAACCAGAGTTGCAGAAACTCAAGTTTAGTGGGACACTGTTGGTTCTAAAGAGCTGTGCTATTTGGAGCAAATCTCCTTTTTGCCAAACACTCTCTTAGAATGACACTAGGCTGATTTCCTCTATAACTCATATATTCATTCTTTCACTCATAATTTTATTGAGCACCTAATATGTGCCAGGCACTATATTAGTACCACAAAAATTATCCCTTATGTATTCCTTGTATGAAATTTCAAAACCCAATAAAATAGATCTAAAAACTTAAGTGCCTAATTTAGAGTGAGAAAATCTGAAACAAAGAGTTGATAAGAAATTACTTGCCAGTGATCCAGTTGTATAATCTGGACTATTAAGAACCCTCTGGGTTTTGTGCATGTCTTTTTCTTTTCTTCTCTTCTCTTCTCTTCTCTTCTCTTCTCTTCTCTTCTCTTCTCTTCTCTTCTCTTCTCTTCTCTTCTCTTCTCTTCTCTTCTCTTCTCTTTTCTTTTCTTTCTTTTTTTTTTGGAACTAAATATAATGGAAGCTTCCTAAGGAAAGACTCGGTTTTTCTGGTATTAATTCTTTCCACTATCTGTTGTTGAGTACCAACTATGTACCAGGCACCTTACTAGACACTGGAACTACAGAAGCAAACAGACCGGACACCATCCCCAGCCCGAGGGAGCTTTCTTTCTATCTAACCAAAGGGGCAGAAAACTATGTTATGATGAGTACAATGAAGGAGATACATTGGACTGAGGAGGAGGTAGTATGGGGAGAGTCAGCTGATAATTTAAATGATTAAAGACTCCAGGTCTCACTGTGAAAATAAATGTCATTGGCTTTATTATACATTCATGCATGTGGGAGAAACAGGAAAAGCCCAGTGAATCTCTTCTAGTTTATTCAAGCATTCATGCCTTTTAGGAATACACAGCTGTCAGGTAATAAATTATCACCAGGCCAACAAATTACTAATTAAAACAACCAAACAGAGTTACAGCCTCTGGGTACAATGGTATGTGAAAGCTAAGTGTCTTCTCCTTCGTGAAAATAACAGTCATCTATGGAAACAGGTTTAGAGCTTTTGTTTATTCGTTTTGGTTTTTAAAATAGTAGGATTATACATTTTCATACAAGTCACCACACTGAACAAGAAAGTGGGGTGGCTACTTTTGTGAATGGTTTCAATTATCTCCTTTATCAGCTCTAGCTTCATGCTCATATAATGAGTGGATTTTTGCAGCTGGAGTGGGGAGAGGAACCACCCTTTTCTTCTTGTCTTACTTTTATATTTTCTTACTAAAACTTAGGAAGATTGTGATTTTATTTTATTTTTATTTTTTATTAAATTTATTGGGATGACAATGGTTAATATGAATATATAGGTTTCAGGTGTGGGCTTCTATGTTACAAGCTCCGTATATTGCACTGTGTGCCCACCACCCAAAGTCATATCTTCTCCTGTTCCCATATAGTAGGACCCCCTTCACTCCCACCCCCTCCCCTCTGGCAACCATCACACTGCTGTTTGTATCCACACGTTTCAGTTTTATATCCCACATATGAGTGAAATCATATGGTTCTTAGCTTTTTCTGACACTTATTTCACTTAGCATAATATCCTCAAGGGTCATCCACGTTGTTGCAAATGGCAGTATTTCATCCTTTCTTATGGCTGAGTAGTATTCCATTTTGTACATTTACCACATCTTCTTTATCCAGTCCACTGTCGAAGGGCACTTTGGTTGTTTCCATGTCTTGCCCACCACGAATAATGCTGCAATGAACATAGGGGAGGGTGCATATAATCTTTGTGAATACATGTTTTGAGTTTTTGGGTATATACCCAGGAGAAGGATTGCTGGGTCATATGGTAGCTCTATTCTTAAATTTTGAGGAATTGTCAGACTGCTTTCCATAGTGACTGTACCGGTCTACATTCCCACCAGGAGTGAATGAGGGTTCCCTTTTTTCCACACCCTCTCCAACACTTTTATTGTTTGTCTTGTTGATAATAGCCACTCTAACAGGTGTGAGGTGGTATCTCATTGTAGTTTTGATTTGTGTTTCCCTAATTGCTAGTGAGGTCAAACATCTTATCATATATCTATTGGCTGTTCATATGTCTTCTTGGGAGAGGTGGCTGTTCAGGTCCTCTGCCCACTTTTTGATTGGGTTGTTTGTTTGGTGTTGAGTTTTGTGAGTTCTTTATATATTTTGGAAATTAAGCCTTTGTCAGAGCTACTGTTTGCAAATATCACCTCCCATCTGGGTGGCTGCCTCTTTGTTTTATTGTCAGTTTCCTTTGCTGTGCAGAAGCTTTTTAGTTTGATATAGTCCCATTCATTTATTTTTGCCTTTACTTCCCTTGCCTTTGGGGTCAAGTTCATAAAGTCTTCTCCATGACCAAGGTCCATAAGTTTGGTACCTATGTTTTCTTCTATGTAATTTATTGTTTCAGATATTATATTTAGGTATTTGATCCACCTTCGATTAATTTTTGTGCATGGGGACAAACTGTAATCCAGTTTCATTCTTTTGCATGTGGCTTTCCAGTTTTCCCAGCACCATTTATTGAGGAGGCTTTCCTTTCTCCATTGTCTGTTTCTGGCTCATTTGTCAAACATTATTAGCACACATACATGTGGTTTAATATCCAGACTCTCAATTCTGTTCCATTGACCTGTGTGTCTGTTTTTCTGCCAGTGCCATGCTGTTTTGATTATCATAGCTCTGTAATATAATTTGAAGTCAAGTAGTGTGATACCTCTAGCTTCGTTCTTTTTTTCTCAAGATTGCTTTGGCTAATCAGGGTCTTTTATGGTTCCATACAAATCTGATGATTTCTCATTCTATTTCTTTAAAAAATGACATTGGTATTTTGATGGGGATTGCATTAAATCTGTATATTGCTTTGGGTAATATGGCCGTGTTAACTCTGTTGATTCTTCTAATCCATGAACACTTTTTCCATTTTGTTGTGTCTTTTTTAATCTCTTTTAATAATGCTTTGTAGCCTTAGACAGCTTGGCTCAATGGTTAGAGCATCGGCCCACAGACTGAAGGGTCCCAGGCTCAATTCTGGCCAAGGGCACATACCTTGGTTGCAGGCTCGGTGCCCTGCCTTGGTCGGGGCTCGTGCAGGAGGCAACCGATCCATGTGTCTCTCTCACATCGGTGTGTCTCCCTCTCTCTCTCTCTCCCTCCCCCTCCCTTTGTCTCTGAGAAGCAATAGAAAAAAAGTCCTCTAGTGAGTATTAAAAATAATAATAATAATAATAATAATACTTTTTAATTTTCAGTATATAGGTCTTTCATGTTCTTTGTTAAGTTTATTCCTAGGTATTTTATTCTTTTGGTTGCAATTGCAAAAGGAATTGGTGTGTTGTGTGTTTTTTCACTTCTTTTTCTGAAGTTTTGTTGTTAGTATACAGGAAGGCAATGGATTTTTGTACATTGATTTTGTATCCTGCAACTTTACTGTATTTGTTTATTGTTTCTAATAGCTTTTTGGTGAAGTCTTTAGGAATTTCTATATACAGAATCATGTAGTCCGCAAAAAGTGACAGCTTTACTTCTTCCTTCCCTATTTGGATGTCTTTTATTTATTACTCTTGCCTTATTGCTAGGACTTCCAGAACTATGTTGAATAATAGTGGTGAGAGTGGACACCCTTGTCTTGTTACTGATCTTAGAGGAAAAGCTTTCAGTTTTTCACCATTGAGTATGATATTAGCTGAGGGTTTATCATATATGGCCTTTATTATGTTAAGATACTTTCCTTCTAGTCCTATTTTATTGAGTGTTTTAATCATAAATTGATGTTGTATCTTATCAAATGCTTTTTCTGCCTCTATGGATAAGATCATGTGACTTTTATCCTTTGTTTTGTTAATGTGGTGTATTACAGTGATTGATTTACATTTATGTTGAACCATCGTTGTGCCCCTGGAATGAACCCCACTTGATCGTGATGTATTATTTTTTTGATGTACTGCTGTATTTGAATTGCTAGTATTTCATTTAGGAATTTTGCATCTATATTCATCAGAGATATTGGTCTGTAGTTTTTTGTGTGTGTGTTATCTTTGCCAGGTTTTAGTATCCAGGTTATATTGGCCTCATAAAATGTGTTTTTTTGGAAGTGTTTGAAAAGGATAGGTTTTAAATCTTCTTTGAATGTTTGGTAGAATTCACTTGTAAAGCCATATGGCCTTGGACTTTTATTTTTTGGGAGGTTTTTGATGATTGCTTCAATTTCCTTGCTGCAGATCAGTCTATTTAGATTTTCCAGTTCTTCATGATTTAGTCTAAGAAGTTATATATTTCTAGGAACTTATCCATTTCTCCTAGGTTATTGAATTTGGTGGCATATAGTCTTTCATAATATTCTAGTATGATCCTTTGTATATCTGTGATGTCTGTGGTGACTTCTCTTTCATTTCTGATTTTGTTTATATTGGTCATTTCCCTTTTTTCCTTAGTGAGTCTAGCCAGGGGCTTGTCAACTTTATTAATCTTTTCAAAGACCAGCTCTTTGTTCTATTAATTTTTTGTATAGTCTTTTTGTTTTCTATTTCATTCAGTTCTGCTCTAATTTTTATGATTTCCTTTCTTCTGCTGACTTTGGGTTGCTTTTGTTCTTCTTTTTTTAGTTCTTTAAGATGTGATGTTAGGTTGTTTACGTAGGATTTCTCTTGTTTCTTGAGATAGGCCTGTAGTGATATAAACTTCCCACTTATTTCTGCTTTTGCTATATCCAGAAGTTGTTTTTTAAAAATATGTCTTTATTGATTTCAGTGAGAGAAAGGGAGGAGAGAGAGAGATAGAGACATCAATGATGAGAGAGTCATTGATGGGCTACCTCCTGCGTGCCCCCCACTGTGGATAGAGCCTGCAACCCAGGTATGTGCCCTGACCAGGAATCAGACTTCGATCTCCTTGATCATAGGTCAGTGCTCAACTACTGAGCCATGCTTGCCAGGCCAGAAGTTTTAATATGTTATATTTTCATTCTCATTTGTCTATATATCTTTTGATCTCATCTTTTATTTCTTCTTTGACCCAATCATTTTTTACTATGTTGTTTAATTTCCATGTATTTGTGGGTTTCTTTACTTCCTTTTAGCAGTTGATTTCTAATTTCAAGGCATCGTGGTCAGAGATGATGTTTGGTATAATTTCAATCTTCTTGAATTTGTTGATGCTAGTTCTGTGACTCAGCATGTGCTCTATCCTTGAGAATGGTCCATGTGCACTGGAGAAAAATGTATAATCTAATATTCATAAATGTCAATTATGTCCGTTTGGTCTAGCATTTCATTTAAAGATGATATTTCTTTATTGATTTTCTGTTTGGTTGCTCTATCTAAAGCTGTTAAGGTCCCCAACTATGATTGTGTTTTAATCTATTTCTCTTTAGTTCTGTGAGTAATTGCTTTGTATATTTTGGTGCACCCTGGTTGGGTGCATATATATTAAGAAGTGTTATGTTTTCTTGATATAGTGTCCCCTTTATCATTATAAAGTGTCCATCTTTGTCTCTTGTTATCTTTGTTGCCTTGAAATCTATTTTGTTAGGTATAAGTGTGGATACACCTGCTTTTTGGTGGCTGTTATTTGCTTGGAGAATCATTTTCCACCCTTTTACTTTGAATCTACCTTTGTCTTTGCAGCTTAGACGTGTCTCTTGTAGGCAGCATATGGCTGAGTTTTGGTTTTGTTTGTTTTGTTTTTTGTTTGTTTTGTTTGTGTTTAAAAACAAATTAAAATTGTAAAAATTGATATTTTTTCCATTGCTTTTCACAGATAGAGAGAGAGAGAGAGAGAGAGAGAGAGAGAGAGAGAGAGAAAGAGAAACATCAATATGAGAGAGACACATCAATTGGTTGCCTTCCTCACGTGCTCTGACCAGGGCTGGGGATCTAGCCTGCAACCAAGGTATGTGCCCTTGGCTGGAACTGAGCCTGGGACCCTTCAGTCAGCAGGCCAACACTCTAACCACTGAGCCAAACTGGCTATGGCTGGGTTTTGTTTTTTGACCCACTCTACTACTCTGTGCCTCTTTATTGGTGAATTCAGACCATTTACCTTTAGGGTTGTTATTGATATATGAGGATTTCCTATAGTCATTTTATCTTGTATTTTCTTATAGCTCTGTGCCTCCATTGGTTCTTTTCCTTTGTACTTTTGTCTCTTGTTTTTGTTTGATGATGTTTCATACTTCTTTCCTCTGTGTCCTCTTTTTTTAAGCGATGTGTCCTGGTTTGGGGATTTTTGTGTGTGGTTATCATTAGGCTTATAAAAAATAAAGTTGCGTGTATACAGTAGTGTTTTTTTTCTTTTGAGTGCATCTGATGTTCATCCTCCTTTGCCAGTTCAGACCTTTACTCCTTCCCCTTTTATGTTTTTGTTGAGACAAATTATCCCAGTTTATGCTGTAAGTTATCTGGTGATCTTACTCGTAGTATTGTGACCTTATGTTATTTATTTCAGGTAGAATAACTCCCTTGAGTATTTCCTGCAGTGGAGGTTTCCTGTTGATAAAATCTCTCAGCTTCTGTATGTCTGGGAATGTCTTTGTTTCTCCTTCATATTTAAAGGATAATTTTGCTAGATATATTATTCATGGCTTGTCATTTCTGTCTTTCACACATTTCAATGTTTAGTTCCACTCTCTTCTGGCTTGTAGGGTTTCTGCTGAGAAGTTGGATAAAATTCTGATGGGTTTTCCTTTGTAGGTCACTTCCTTCTTTTATCTGGCTGCTTTGAGAATTTTTTCTTTGTCATTAATTTTTGACGGTTTTAATATAATATGCCTTGGAGAGGGCCTCTGTGGATTGAGGTAACTAGGTGTTCTGTTTGATTCTTGGATTTGAGGATCTAGCTCTTTCCAAAGGTTTGGGAAGTTCTTATCTACTATTTGTTTGAATAGACTCTCCATTCCCTTCTCCTTCTCTTCTTCTTCCAGAATGCCTGTTATTCTAATATTGCTCTTTCTGATGGTTCTCATAGAGCTTTTTCATTTTTCTTTATGCTCAGGTCTCTCTCTTTCCTCTCTGTCATTTCTAGATGCCTATCTTCAATATCACTAATTCTTTCCTCCATCTGGTTGGCTCTGTGCTCTATGCTCAGTAGCTCATTCCTAATCTCCTTAATTGCATGCTTCATTTCCAGGATTTCTGATTGGTTCTTTTTTAAGGTTTCAATTTCTTTGGTAAAGTACTTGATTTGTTCATTGATTGGTTTTCTGAGTGCACTGAATTCCCTTTCTGTATTTGCTCGCATCTCATTGAGTATTTTCAAAATGGCAGTCTTGAAATCTCTGTCATTTATATCAGTTATTTCCAGCTTTCTTTCTGGGGATTTTTCATTTGCTTTCTGATCATCCTCCTTACCGTGGTTGTTCATAATATTTGCTCCTCTTCTTTGTCTAGGCATAAATGTCCCTTCCATAGCAGCATTCCCTGAAGAGGTCTTTCTACTATTTTCCAGTAGATGGCTCTGAATCACAAGACTTTTTTACCTCTGTGATCTCCCAGACTTGACTTCCACAGCTTCTGTAAGAGAGTACAGCTGTACTGCTTGGGGGTGGGGTTTGTTTTGCCCTCACCATAATGGTGACCCCAGACCCTGGACCTCCATGAGGTCCAGTCCCAAGCACCAAACCTGGAGATCAGTCACAGAGGGAAACAGCAATAGTTCTTGGTTTACAGGTAAAATGTTTCTCAACTTAACACCAAGGGCACCAAGTTTGGGGAGTCCAAGGGGTAGCAGAGCTCTGTGGTACCATTTCTTTGTCAGAATCACCCCCATCTGACAGTGGATAGCCATGAGGCAGAACTCTGTGCTCTTATAGGCATCTGCTGGCTCAGTCACTGTTCACTCTGCTTGCCCTGCTGTACTGTCCCTGCAGCTCTCTGTTCCTCCCAGCTGAAGGAAGCGCATGCTGTCACTGGCTTCCTCCCCTTTCCCAGCCACACAGAGATCTCCTGAGTGCCCAGCTGCAGAGCTGCATCTCTGGGCCATCTTCAGGCCATCTGAGCTTTCCTCCCTTCTTGTCTTCCCGCTTATTCACAGGTGCCCACCTTTAGATGTTTCAATGGGAATGTCTCTCAGTGTTCCTCTGTATTGAGTACGGAATTCTTTGTTAAATTATAGTTAGTTAACCTGTTGAAATTTCTTGGGGAGAGGTCAAGGAGCTCTCTCCTACTGCCATTCCTCCGACATCACCAAATTATCAAGACTTGTGATTTTATTTATTTTATTTTATTTTATTTATTTATTTATTTATTTATTTATTTATTTTTAATCTTCACCTGAGGATATTTTTTCCATTGCTTTTCAGTGAGAGTGGAAGGGAGAGAGAGAGAAATATCAATGCAAGAGAGGCACACTGATTGGTTGCCTCCCACACCCACTCTGTCAGGTCTGATGATCTAGCCTGCAACCAAGGTATGTGCCCTTAGCCAGGATCGAACCCAGGACCCTTCAGTGCACCAGCCAATGCTCTAACCACTAAGCCAAGCTGGCCAGGGCAAGACTTGTGATTTTAGTCAAGTGTTAGAATTTCAATATTTAGCAACAGCAGGGAAAAACAGACCCAAAAAAGGTCAAAGCCTTAAAAATGTAAAGAAAAAGGCATGTAGTGCTTTGTACAGAGTGTTTAAGCTGAGAGATTTGAAGACTGAAAAGTGGAGTGTTATTCAAGGGAAGGTGAGACAGCAAGACCTGTGAGGGCCTTTGGGCTGTGAAGGGTGTGTGGGCTTAGAACCAAACCATAGGGGACATGAGATGAGACTAAGCAGCTGCACCTGAGATCTGCTCTAAGTGTAATGGAAAGAAAGCCTCATAATCTTAGCAGGAGACAACACAATCAGATCTGAATAATCAGAGTTTCTAGAACCTTCCTTTTAGAATCAGCAGACAATAGTCTTCCTCAAAGAAGACCTCAATACATTTTTTCCTACGTAGCTCATTGCATTGTTGATACTCCATAAATCTGAAATAAACAACAACAGGAATTGTTACCCATGTTTTGGCATATCTGAATTCTAGGACCCAAAACATATAAAGAGACAGGGTTTTTTTATTTCTCCATTCACTTAGTAAGTAAAACATTGCCCAGGAAGTATCACTTCTCACCCATTCCTGTCAGGAAAAGGCTACTTGGTTATTCCTACTGGGAAAAAGTGGCCTCGTTTTTTAGCCTCAGTTTACTGTCTCGAAATGGAGACCAAAGTGTCCCCAATACTCAAAATCCCTGTCATCCCACTAGAGTATTGGATGTCAGGGACATTGGGTTCCCAAGTGAAGTCAAAGAGGCTTCAGCTCATATCCTGCCCAGAACAGTGTTTCCGCAAAAGATCTGACCTTTGGCCTCACCCACTTCCTTCTGGCCCTTCTAGGGATGCTAAAGCTGCAGTGGTGACTGGCATGGAGCTGAAGGACATGAACGCAGACCAGCTGGATGAGGTCTTAACCAGCTACCCAGAGATTGTGTTCGCCCGAACATCCCCCCAGCAGAAGCTGATTATTGTAGAGGGCTGTCAGAGGCAGGTGGGTGGGCAGCAGTGCCCAGAGTACCTCCGTCGTGCAGGGAACTGCAGGGCTGAGATTCAGATCCCAAGTCAAGGTTTGGTGCCTTTTCAGCCTCTAGAGACAGTTCCTTTCCCATTCTCATCACCTCACATTGCCACCTCTCAGGCTGACATTCTTTCTTACTTAGAAACCCTCCCACACACAGCTGCATACTCTCTAAAGGACGTTCTGACAGTGAAGCATCTGGTACTACAGTAGGTGTGGGTATAGAACGATTTAAAATGTAAGATAGAGCCTGGCCGGGTCTGGCTCAGCGGTTGAGCATTGACCTAGGATCCAGGAGATTGAGGTTCGATTCCTGGTCAGGGCACATGCCCGGGTTGAAGGCTCGATCTCGAATGACTCTCTCATCATTGGTGTTTCTCTCTCTCTCTCCCTCTCCTTTCCTCTCTCTGAAATCAATAAAAATATATAAAAAAATAAAATGTAAGATAGAGAACAAAAATATAAAGATGTAAGATATAAAATATACAGTTATCCCTCAGTATCCTCAGAGGATCAGTTCCAAGACACCTCCCCTCAGTACCAAAACCCATGGATGCTCAAGCCCCTTATATAAAATGGAGTGTTATTTGCATATAACCTATATTTACCTATAACCTATATTTACCTATAACCAACATTTTCACATTACCTACATTTGAACAGAGGCTACAGCAGGGTGTGCCCACACATCACTTAATTTTTGTGGCATCAGCATAGCATTCAGCATGTGGCAAATTCAAGTTTCACTCTTTGGAACTTTCTGGGGTTTACTTTTTCCAAGTATTTTCAATCCTTGGTTGAATCTTCAGATGGGAAAACTGTGGCTACGGAGTGCCAAAGGTATCCCTCTCACCTGCCATACACATTGGTTTTAATTATTTAAACATGTCTTTTTTGGAGCTCATTATCTGGCATCTGGGATTTCCCATCTTTACCTTTTCCCCAAAATCCAAACCGGGCCCTTTGTCTCCACTCCAGTTGTCTCCATCCTCAAGACAACAGGGAGACAGTGTTCTTGCCAGACCTGAGACCCCATAGTCCTGCTCACTCCCATTTTTTCACTGTGTCCCTTTGCATAGGATGCAGTCGTTGCTGTGACCGGGGATGGAGTGAATGACTCTCCTGCTCTAAAGAAGGCAGATATTGGGATTGCCATGGGGATAGCAGGTTCAGATGCAGCCAAAAATGCAGCTGACATGGTCTTGTTGGATGACAACTTCGCATCCATAGTCACTGGGGTGGAGGAAGGTGCGTAGTCTTCCTCCAAGTGGTCTTCCTGAAAACTGGGGTCGCCTGGGAGAAAAGCTAGTTCTATAAGGAGAAACATCTTTGCTTAGGTCGCCTGATCTTTGACAACCTCAAGAAGACCATTGCATACACCCTGACCAAGAACATCGCTGAGTTGTGCCCCTTTCTGATCTACATCATCATTGGGGTGCCTCTGCCCATAGGCACCATCACCATCTTGTTCATTGACTTAGGCACGGACATCGTAAGTAGCACTACAGGGAACAGGGTCTAATAACTGCCCAGGTCATGTAAACTTCAGAGTCATTGCCTTCAAGAGCAAGGAAATAGAATAAATCAATGCTTGTCAAACTTTGCCATGACAGAGCCTGAAGCTTTGGCTTTCTAATGAGCTCTTTCATGATGCCAATACTAGAGCCATCTGTCAAATGTTTGGAAATTAAAACCACCTCACTTTATATAAGAGCCTTTCAAATGTGAGTTCTTCAAAAGTTCCATTGGTCAGGTTCAGCCTTCTTTTCTTTTGAGAAGATGCAGCTGTCACCAAGATAGTCCCTGTGCTGCTGGGGGCCCAGTGGTTAAAGTGATAACCCATAGTAGCCCCTTGTTAAATAAAAGGATCTGTGATCTGGAGGCCCCTCACCTCAACAGAATAAAAAGCCGCAGTTATAAAGCCTCACATTGACCTACAGTGCTGTTAACTAAACCCTCCCCTCTGCTAGTTCGTGTCTGTGTAAGAATCTTTGTAACATTATGCCAGTGTCTCTGGCTTACACGGGCAAAGGAGAAAAGGCAACATGGAGCAGTCTGAATTCCAAGTGAGGACAACAGCCCGGCAAATTGCCTCCTTGCCCCTCTCTTGCTTTACACAGTCTCCACATTGTAGGGAGACTAGAGATAGCTCTACCTCAGAGGGGAATTGGGATCCCCAAAGGTAACAGTCAGATCATTTCCAGCCCTTTAGGCTTGCTCATTTTTCTCCACTGCAGAGGTTCTTCCAGTGTAACCCAGGTGTCACCTGGGAACTTGCTGGAAATGCAGTCTCTGGCCCTAGCCAGGACCTTGTGGATGAGAAAGTCTGAAGGAAGGGGGTGAGGGGCAGGGTGGAGTGGAGAGGTAATGTGTCTTTTAACAGGCCCTCCAGGACAAAGGACCAGAGAATCACTGTGATCCAGGGTCATACTAACAAGAGAGGGTTTAGTAAGAGAAACCTACCCCAGAGGGGCAAAGTGACTTGTAACTCACATTGTATAGAACTGTGAGCACATGGTGATGATGGGGGGTAGGTTGCTTTTTAAAGCCAACTGTTCTTAAATTCTCTGCAGACAATACACCTACCTCCTTGCCTTTACCCTGGATAGCCCAGTTCCATAGCCCACCACCACTTTCCACCGGCCCCCCGACCTTCCCCAAGCCCCAGACTGTACCCCTACTGTCATCCTGTAGGTCGAGTACAGTGTTCAAGGGGTGGGCTTCACAGACTTTCCCCTCCAGGTTCCATCCATCGCCTTGGCTTATGAGAAAGCTGAAAGTGACATTATGAATAGGAAGCCTCGCCACAAGAAGAAGGATCGACTGGTGAACAAGCCACTTGCCGTGTACTCTTATCTGCACATCGGTATGATCAGGGCATGTCCTGTCACCCAGGGGACCACCCAGTCACAGTCAGAAGCTGTGTTTTTCCTTATGGGGCAGGGGTGGGGTGGGAGAAGAAACCATAAGGAGGATGGGGACAGGCAGTTCTGAAGTCACTGTGGAACCTGCACCTTACTCTTATTCCCTCAGGCCTCATGCAGTCCCTGGGAGCTTTTCTTGTGTACTTCACCGTGTATGCACAAGAGGGCTTTAGGCCCAGCACCCTCATTAACCTCCGGGTGGAATGGGAGCAGGACTCTGTGAACGACCTGGAAGATAGCTATGGACAAGAATGGGTAAGGAGGGGCTCTGCGTTCACCATCTTCCTGCTCCTTCCCTCCTGTCGCTGCCCTGCTCAGGCTGACATGGAACTTAAGTTTCCCTGGGTGGCCTTAATGACCTAGAGAAGGCGAAAGTTTTCTAAGTTAACAGGGCTGCTGGGACTCACCTCATCTCTCGAATGCAATGCCTAGACGCCATTTTTTAGGGAAGAGTAGCCAGTCCAGCAATGTCCACATTTGGGCAAAATCAATTAAATTAGCATCTTTTCCTGCTCACCTGGTTAAAAACAACAACAACAACAAAAAACTATGTTTCTTTCCAAACACAAGGAGGTGATCCTCTCTCAATCTCAGGGAGGTGGAGAGAATAGAGCTTCACAGGACTGCCTGGAAATCTCCCTGAAGTTTTCCCTGTGGGCTCTCATGGTCTCCTCTCTGTCCACTGACAGACGCGTTACCAGAGGAAATACCTAGAATGGACAGGCTACACGGCTTTCTTTGTTGGCATCATGGTCCAGCAAATAGCAGATCTGATCATCAGGAAAACCCGGAGGAATTCCATCTTCCAGCAGGGTCTCTTCAGGTACTCCTGCATCCCACCTCACCCCTGGATGATGAGGCAGCATACCATGAGAGCACTGAGTCCCCTGGGTGCTGGGCATGTGGTACTGGGCCATGGGCATTCAGAATCTTCAATCTTCATGTTTCTTATAGAAATAAAGTCATCTGGGTAGGGATCGCCTCTCAGATTATCATCGCTCTGATCCTCTCCTATGGCCTTGGAAGCATCACAGCCCTGAATTTCACCATGCTTTGGTGAGTTCCTTCAACAGTGCAGAGGAAAGAGTCAGTCCTGCTCTGAGCTGTCACAGCCTAAATAAACATTAGGACTTGGGGGGAGGGGTGGGGTTCCCCTCTAGTCTTTCAAAAGAGACAAAATTGAGTCGGTTCCATATGAGTCAGAGGCTTTGACCTACTAGTTTTCCTGAAGTAGAAATGGGTTTTCCACACCTCACCATCCCATCTCTACCCTCATCCCACAGATCACCTCAAAGGCAGATGCTACTTCTAGTGGTCACAATCCAGGTTAAGTAAGAAACTTTCCAGTTTCATGTTGTGTGACCCAGTGGATCTGTTGTTCTTTCCAAGGAGGCAGGGAAATGAATGGGGAATCCTCTGCCCCATGGCAAGGGCTGGGCCCTCCCTTCAGTGCATTTGGGCTCACCTCTCCCTTCTGCTTCCAGGCCTCAGCACTGGTTTGTGGCTGTGCCCCATGCTATTCTCATCTGGGTATATGATGAGGTGCGGAAACTTTTCATCAGACTATACCCTGGAAGTAAGTTGTAAGATGATCTTTGAGACTCAGCCAATCCACTTCAACAGACTATCCATTTCTAATTCACTTTATACCTCTGCAGGCTGGTGGGATAAGAATATGTATTATTAAGCCCACCTACTTCCCAAGCCTCCCACCTGCGCATCGGGACATTCCTCTCCATCTCCTGGCTGCAGCAGGGATATCGTCAGAACACATTCGGGAGAAGGCAGAAAACTGTAGGAAAGACACTACCGGATGTTTTATACTTTAAAGCAGAGATTTGACTGTTTATATATGATTTCCTTCTCTATATACACCTCCTTATATAAAAAGATGTGAATTTCAAGGTAATGTTTAGGGAAAACTGATGTATTTATGTGTATATAAATCTCACTCACGTGAAATAGGCTTGTGTAATCCAGACATCTCCTGGGGTCTCCCTTCTCCCTAAGCTCCCACAGGATTCCTCTGACCTCCATCCCACACCATGTTAAAAGTTCAACGACCTCCCAAAGATTTCTTTGAATTCCTAGAAAACTTATATTTTCATAGTTACCTTGTTCAAAAGAGGCCAGTGCCACTGAAGGTTTGCAACACAGACAACGTCTGTTTTGACTCTGAGATGTCCTTCTGAAAGTTCCTCCATCGGGTACCTAGCTGCACCACCTCAGCCGTCCTTGGTGTCCTCCCTCTTACCAGTGGGACCCCTCCCTCCATCCCATTCTGCCCCAGCCCTTACCACCCGCTGCTCCAAATGGAGCTTCAGGTCCATCTTGGGTATCCTGTTCTAGATGCTCTCCTGACCCAAGGCATTTTCATTTCTCAGGATTCAGCCTCAGTAGAGAACTGTTGTTGTTTAAAACAGTAATATTTATTTCTTGTAAAACAGTTGCAAAGTACCCTCCAGCACTCATTTTATGTCTCTCATGCATGTTTCATGCCTTAACTTAGATTTATTCATGTGAGACACATATATCCATGTTGACAGCCCCAGAGAGACCTCACTTTTAAGTAAAAGGTATTTCATAAAACTAGGTCTCATTGTGGTGTTACAATTAATTTGAGTTTTTCTGGAATGCAGAGCATAGGTCACACACAAAAATGAGATGTTATTTCAATTTTTGTTTTGTTTATTCCAGTCGTTTTACTTTTCTATGGAAGATCTGAAAAGACAAGATTTTTTCAACTCTTCCTTCACCAGCATCTTTGCCCTATATGCTGGGTCTCTGATGGGCCCACATTTTTAAGTCAGGATTTGTATTGGAGGATACAGCTTTCATCAGCAGTAACCTAAGGAGAGTAGTGTTCACAGCCTTTCCATCAATGGCACATCCAGCACAAACTGGACAGTGCCTCTTTTCTATTCAATGGCCTCTACCCTATCACCTCTCCTCTATTATTTATTTAGACAAGGACATGCTGCTGCTGCTGGGTCTAGGTCAGATCTCTGGACAGGGAAAGGGCAACTTAGAGCCACACTTCTCTACCATATTCTCACAGTCACATTTAGAAGCATGAAAAAGGTCTGGGGTCAGCTTGGTAACTTTACGTAAACAGCTTATCATGTGCAATGTGTATTGTATGTGTATCTTTAAGTTAAAATAATATTGCCATCCTCGAGGTTTTTAATCTCTATTTTCAGCCACAGTTATCACACAGTTATCCCGGAACTAATCTCTTATCCAGTGAACTGGAAACCCTTCTGGGTAGCATTAGAATGACCTCTCATTCCAGTCTTGACAAGGCAGCTAATGCCAGCATGTGAAGCACTTGACTCATGTGTGAGTGTGTGTGTGCATGTGCTCGCGTGTGCACCTTTACCTGGATAAAGAGACTCCCCTGGATGTGTTTGTAAAGGAGGTTACCTGCAGACATCCAAACTGGGATATGCTCAGATCACGCCCCTGAAAGGCCACCCCCTTCCCTGACAGATTATGTTATTATCAAGGTAGGGAAAGAGAAGGTACTGAGGCAAGGACTTTTAAAATAGAATACAGTATTTGTCTAAATGCACACATGCTGCTTCCTTCTGACTCTACACTTACAAAGATTGTCAGGTCTCCACATTTATTCACTTTGCCATCATTTCACTAGTAGAGTTTAATGTCTCTTAATAGGAGAATAACAATAGCTGATATTTAATACCTATTGTGTCCTCAGCACTGTGATAACCTCCTAAAAGCATCTCATTAATGCTTGTATGAAAAATAACACAAATGGATCCATTTCAAAATGGAGTTGGAGTTGCCATCCCAGAGGAACTGCCTTATACATCTTACTCCCCAAACTTTTTCAGTGTTTAAACTGGGCAAAATGATCTTTGGGCTGGGCCTACAGCAGCACTGTCTTCCAAACAAGTGTTTGCAAAGCTAACAGGAAAGCAGACATTCTGAGGATAAGATTGAAAATTAAAGACAGTATTTATAATTAGCACCACCATGTATAGCTAAATAATAATTTAGCTTAGGTGGACCTGTAGAATTCCTATCTTGACATATTAACACCAACAGAAGTTCCTTTCTCCTATTCACGTAATTATTCCCCTTCCCTTTCTCATAAAAACTCTTGCCTTCACCCCTAATCAGAATACCTTTTGGGCTTCTGCCTGAATCAGCACTTCCCAGCTATCCTTTTATTCTCAAATAAACACTTGTTGCCTCTCCCTTTGGCCTTTTATTTTCAGGTTAACACTCACAACCCCATCAATTAGTAGCCTCAGCCTTGCATTACAAATAGAAAAACTGAGACTTAGAGGTTAGGTGATTTGCCCAGCACTGTGGATTTCTTCTCCTCCACTAAGTGGCTTAACTGTAGAATCTGTAGGGCATTGTGGGGAGAATTTGTACTTCCATGGAAAACTACACACTGTCCAGAGCTCACCCTTCAGGGGTGCTTTCTCAGCTCTAAGGTTATTGAGAACTGACAGCAATTCAAAATAGCCCTTGTCTACAGATAAGCAAATGATCTTGCCTGGTGAGAGCTGCCCCTCCTTCCTCTGGAAAAGCCAGTCCTGTTCCGTTTACACAATCACTTAACATTCCTGGAATCCAGATAAGTGCCTTCTGCTTTGCTCCTTTGAACTGGATCTAACACTGCCTAGTTCTGTCACCTAAATAGTGAGCTAAATACATTCTTCAACTCTTGTTCATTTTACACACGTAGGAGAGTGAAGAGTTTACCTTTTCTTTGAAAATTGTCCTTTCACAATGAAGAGAGGAAGAAATCTACCATTCACTCTTCAGGGGCACTCTTAGTCTTGGCACAGACATTGGCCAGCTCCAGCTGCCTACGCATGAAACTGCTGCCGACTCCCACTTGGCTCACCCAGCTGCCTGTCTTCCGGTTCTCCCTTTTGCTTCATTGAAGCTGCAGTGGATACACTCCTGTGTGGTTTATAGACACAGTGTACATTGCCCAGGCACACAGAATTAGCTTCAAGAGCCCAGAAGCAGACCCAGTCAGTCTGACTCCAAAGTCTATGTTCTTAGCCACTATGTGATACTGCCTCTCACAAATGCCCATGAAATGCAAAGCTATTTATTTCAGTCTCTTCTACTTGAAGAGAGCACACTCTCCAAGAAGAATTTCAGCCATGATTTTTATGTATTAACATAAAAAAGAAAACCTCAAAAGTATTTTAATGGTCTTACACAATTTTAAAAATTCCACTTAGTTTATAGCATCTGTGGGAATGAAATGGGGACATAGATTTACTGCTACATTTCCATTCTGTAGGAGAGACACTGAGGCTCTGAGAAGTGAGGTCTGGATAATAAAGACTGTGGCCAGACCTTGCCAAGACCCCTCATGCTTCACCTAGACCAACCTCTGAAAGGTGATTCTGAGTTCAACCAAAGAGCAGAGCTGGTGAAATTATGAATAAATGAAGAGCTCACTTTCCATGTCTCACTCCTACAATGTACATGGCCATGGGATTTCAGAAAACATTGTCATGGGAAGGCTGTTCCGATTCCATCACACTATTCGTCTTTACAAGTATGGCCTGCTCCCACTACAGCCCAGATTCTTCCCACTCGTTAACCTCACCAGGAACATGGAAGGTCACCTAAGAATAGGGTTAATATCTCACACTTGATAACTATGGACTGTTTACAAAGCCCTTTCATACCTGGTCCTCATGATAAACCTAATAAATGATCTGGGTGCTTTACAGATGAGAACATATCTCATTCAAACAGATGGATGTGCCTAAAGTCACACAGATAATCAGTGACAAATTGAGTTTATCTGCCTCTTGGTCCAGAGTATATTTTATAACCCTAGTGAACTCCTCATTCAAAATTCTTTAAAGATGGAGAAAGTAAAACAGAAAGTCTGAGCAGGTAGGGAGTCAGTGAGCTTCCATCTTTGTTCATGATCTTACTATATGTCAGGCACTGTGGGAATCCTCTGCATGAGTTAACTCCAAGGGCAGCTCTATGAGGCAGGGACTATTATCATGACTATTTTGCAGAAGAGAAAAAAGAGAATCAGAAAGGTAACATAACTTACCAAATTCGCATAGGTATGAAGTGTCCATAGAGCCAACTTTGTCCAACCTAAGCCTTTCCACTACACCATCCTGCCTCTTTGGTACGCAGGCCCACATCTTTCTTCATCTCCTTGGTAAGCAGTATCCTGGGTAGAAGAGTCCCCAGGCCATGAGGATAATAACTCCTTATTCTGGAGCTAACAACACAATAACAACTGAAGCTCATTGACCCACTGCTACCAAAGCAGTTGGATCATGTCATTCCCTTGCTTCATAAAATCCAAAGTTTTAGCATAGCCCACAGTGCTCTACATGATCTGCCTTTGCCCACCACTCCAGCTTCATTTTGACACACTGTCAGAAACACCCATCACCACTACCAGAAAGAGTGCCAACAGCATGTTGTAAGGACCATCTTTAAGAAAATTCAACCTTGAGTTATTTACAATGGCCAAGATTTGGAAGTAGCCCAAATGCCCATCAGTAGATAGGAGGGGGAGCTATGGTACATTTACACAATGGAATACTACTCAGCCGTAAAAAAGAAGGAAATCTTACCCTTGCAACAGCATGGATGGCTCTGGAGCATATTATGTTAAGTTAAATATGCTAGTCAGAGAAAGACAAGTACCATATAATTTTACTTACATGTGGAATCTAATGAACAAAATAAACAAAATAGAAAAAGACTCATAGA